TTGATGTAATTAAATCACATCCCTGGCTCGGCGCTCAGGCTTACTTTCATTGTTTTGAGGGGGCAGAAGCCCCCGTGAGGCAGTGCACTGATGAGAGATGGATAAACAGTTTGATTTGCTGCTATCGCCCCCAGGCACGGTGTACCACAGAGATGAGCAAGAGAAGGGAAGAGAAAAGCATTAAAAAAACAAAAACGGGGAGGGGTGGGATAGGGCAAAAAAAGAAAACAGAAACAGAGAAGCAAGCGAGGAGGATAAGAGAACCTGTTGGAGAAGGGATAAAGGGATAGAAGGTGGAGGATAAACATGCAGAGAAAAAAAGGCGACAAATCGCTCCTGTTGTTTGTGTACAAATTTGTGTGCACGCAGGCTATGTTTTTCTTCTTCTTCTCTCTGTTATTTTTGCTTGTCTGTTTCATCTGCCTGTCTCCCGAATCCCCTTCTTCCTCCCTGTCTCCGCTTTGCTCCATCACCCCCCAGTACCTCTCTGTCTCCTACCTGCCTCATGTTAGCCCCAAGCAAAGAGTGATCCGAACAACGAAAAGTTCATTCATACACACCGAATTGCGTCTATGCATACAAACAAGAAGTATTTGAAAAGAACTGTGTGTTTTGTTTTTGTTTTTCTTATCATTTCTGCGAGTATTTGTTCTAGATTACTAACTTTCTAGGTGTGCTTCGACTGTGGAACTTGGAACTTTAGTTTCTCTGAAGTTAAGTTCCCAGAACCTTTTATTTGATCTCGCCTAGTAGCTGTGCGTGTTTTCACTATGGAGTCCAAAACTGGACTTTTAACATCTTTTAAGGAACTGGAGGTCTCTCTCCTTCTCTCAAGGGTGTTTCTGGTTTAGTCTCAACACTGGCCTTTCTACAGCAATAACATTTTATAACTTATGCTGAGTCACTTTAAGTGTTATAAAAAGGTGTATCTGTTTAACTTTTGATCCAATTATTAGCAGTAAATCCAAGTATAGTGTAAATGGTAAATGGCCTGTACTTACTTTTTTAAGTCAGGAGACTCAACCAAAGTGCATTACACTTCATACATACTGTACATACTACATACATACATTCACCCCTTC